TGGCTAGTCATTCTTCAATAGGCTAAACTGGTTTCTTTACATGGTAGTCCCAGGGCAGTGCTTCATAAAAACAAAGGCAAAGACCACATGGTCATTGGCAGCCCAGGCCCCAGAACTCATACATCATCACTTCCATTACCTTTAAAGTCAAAGGCAATCACCCAGATGCAACAAAATAGAAGAACAGACTCTACTCTTGATGTTGTAAGACATTGCTTGTCATATTTATTCTATCGTACTCACACACAGGAGTTTTGCTTTACTTATAACAGTGCCATATGCTTTCTGAAACATTACAAGGTCAACTAATGCTTCATCCACTTTTAGATAAGGAAATGGAGACTCAAGATTAAGAGCACAGTTGCATGACAGATCCAGGTTTCAATCTGGGTCCTTCTGACACCTTCTATTGACACTGGAAAATTTGAATCTTGCTATATCAAAACTTCTGTGGAAATTGCTCTTTCCTCTCTCCTCAATATGTCAGGACACAAAAGAGAAGTGGTTTCCTTTAAGTATATTTACCCAAGAGATTCAGTTTCCTTTTTAGAAAATTTTAATGCTTTTTCCCTAATTTCCAATTTTGCCCTTCCTCGAAGGTCTATTTTTTGCAGCTATTTTCTCTAGTGTGAGAAACTGAGAGTATAAATAAGGTTTAAAAGGATTAATAACTAATAATTGATACTTTGAAATAGGAAAAGGTCCAAAGGGGGTGGTGGGTGGGGAAAAGAAAGAATGGAAAGGAAAAATTATGAGAAAAGAAAAAAAAATGGAAACGAAGTTGATGTAAATAGAGAAGAGTGGAGGGGAGAGGGTGCACAGGTAATGGGGAAAAAATAAGAACTAAGATACATCATGTACAGGTACAAGCACCCAATGATAAATTTAAATATATTGTATACCTAAGATGTACCAATAAAAGAATTTAAGCAAAAAAAAAAAAAAAAGGTCTATTTTTTCCCTGTGGAAACAGATTCTAATTCAGGCCAAATTCAGTCACAAAACCATGTTGTACATTTCAGAGAAAATATGAATTATTCCTAGTTACCTGAAGAGGTTATTTAATTTTTTTTCAGATTAATGGAGGAGATCCAGATGTTGTAGAGAATGGGCCAAATTTTAGCCTTTGTTTTAATTTTCAGTTTTTCATTTATATTCCAATGTACTTTACTCCATGAAAGCACATATCCAAAGTGGTAATGTAAATATGAAGAGAAGGACAATAGAGAAAACATATCCTTTCTACTATAAAGAGCAGAAAGAAAAGTGTAACAAAGTCTGTAAGCAAAGATTAATTTGAGTTCTGCAAATGATTAATAATTTGATCCTATGGTAGGTAAGTCATTTCAATAGTTTGACCCCACTTTTCTCATTTCTTAAATGAGAGCATGAAGCTGGATACCCTCTCAGTTCTTTCAGCTCTTAGATGATTTGATTCTAGTGCCAGAGTATAATTCCATCATATTCTCCACACGTTTTTATTCCAAAACACATTGGCACCATGTTAAAGTAGGTTGACTCATATTCCGCATGTAAACAATTGTGGCTATTGCCAAAATTTGTTATCAAACAGAAAACAAGTATGTTTCAAGTTCTTTTCTTTAATTCTTTTAGCATATTTTTGATGTGTTGAAAAACTACAAGGTATTTCTGTATGCTCCTCTTTATTAGACTCATTAAATCACACCAAAAATATTTTGCAGGGCTTCTTTCCTACCTTTTCTGAAACATCATGCAAAGGTGCACAAAACAAAAAAATGTCTTGATTTTTGGAAAATTACATCTGTGTTAAAGAAAATAGCAAATGTATAAACTAGATATTAATCTTTCTTTTTGATAAACTAAAGCATATTGCTAACCCCCTACAAAATAGTTGAGATGTATTGTAAATGAACATGACTTTTGTTGGGCAGCATGCGGTTTGAACTGTAGAATATAGCTTAGAGGCATTTAAAACTAGATAAAGATACTACAGGATATAGGATTCTCAGGAAAAGCCACAAATGAAATTGTGAAATGTTTTGGAAAATAAGAACTCCAAACTACCATCTTCCCAGAAGATCTGATTACTCTCATGTGTTCTGATTTCATAGCAAACACTGATCCAATTGACATGTGGGAAGGAAATTTCCCAAACAAACCATTTGTGGCATCCTTGGAAATATTTCTGGGTGATTATATATTTTGGAAAGACCTGATATCATCATACCTCAAGTTTATATCCACTTAGTTTCTTTAGTTAACAGAAATCTTGAGTAAGGGCATGAGCTCAGACCTTAACATACACTGACTGTTCTTTGTCACACAGACTAGAAACAACTTGACCTTTACTAAAAGTCCTAACATAGGGAGCTTAACCTGATGGACAGTGAGATCTAGCAGCTTTGCTATTTCTGTTCTTCCTGAACATCCCATAGAATTTCACAGAAAACCAAGATTGCATCCTCTGTGCAAGTTACTTGATGTTTGAGATCAGCCCAGTAGGTCAAAGAACAAGCCTTCCCCATCCTAACGTTGCTTCCTCACAAAGCCCATGTAGCTCATGTTGAAATAGGAAAAGAAAAAGGGCATAGGTGTATTTCTTCACTCAAAGTATTTCTTGATCTCACCCCAGCACCTTGAGAAGTTAGTCTCCATACTTGCTTTTTCTAATTCCTTCCATAGTGATTTACTTCAAATTCATCTTTCTTTCCCCTGTCTTTCTTTCCTTCCTCTGTCTTTCCACTGGTAACTCAGGCATTATTACTTTTCTTCTTGGTATAAAATCTAAGTATTTGTGGGGCATGGTGGTGTAAGCCTGTAATCCCAGAACTCAGGAATCTGAGGCAGGAGGATCACCATGAGTTCAAGGCCAGCCTGGATTACACAGTGAGTTCAAGGCCAGCCTGAACTACAAAGTGAGACCCTGTCTCAAAAACAAACAAACAAAGAAACCTAAGTACCTATAGACTCTCATGGAAAGACAAGATTTACCATCATAAAATGAACACAGTAGACAAACCCTTTGAGAAGAATTGAAGGTACTCAAACTGAGGCAGAGGAGGTGAATTATAAGACACATACAGCTCTCGCCTCCAAAGACCTACCAGTCATATTTCCTTAGCTGCATATTAGTCTTGCTCTAAGTACTCTATTTTTTCCTCTGACTTAACTTTTATTCAAAATGAAGTTGTTTTCCCATCTGAAGGATTGGTACAGTCATATGAGTTGGTGTGCATGATTGTTGTATTTACCTCTGAGTCTTTAAGAAAGATCATATAGGAAGAAAATTATACCCTTTAAAAATTCAGCTTTCCTGTGGGGAAAACTTTCACTGTTAATGGGATAGTACATGAGGTTGAAACTCAAAACAGAAAGATGGAGGAACTTCCTGTACTCTCAGGGAAAGTACTCAGAGATCAGAGGAAAGGTATAGTCCAGGCATAGCATGAGACTAGACTAATACATCCTCCTCGGGACACTGACTCTAGCATCACACCCAAGCTTTGAGGGATTTGCGAGACAAAAGATAAAGATTCCTTCTTCCACCACTACATGCAGAGAATTCTAGAAGTTTTCATGTATCCATAGCAAAACTAATTGTGAAGTATCACTGAAACTTAATTGATTATTGTAAGATGTTTGAAGCCAGGAATATTCATTTGGCATTTCAAAATCACTAAGTAATTTGTCTAAAGTCACATTTCAGATCCTCAGTACTGTTGAGTGCAAAAGGAAAATAGTTCAGCCTGGAATCATAGCACTGATAAATCACCCCAAAAGCATAGGCCTCCACCCAACACCAGAACTGAAATATAAATTCCGAACGCTGCTAGCCCCAGCATCACTCTAGGCCCCTCTCTTGGAGGAAGTATTTCTCAGGATCTGAGAAATTATAAATTACCTATATGAAAAATCCTTAGATCCTGATGCTGCCTGCTTTATACTCCTACAATAGTTCTCAAATTAAAAGAAAGAATCCTTCATGAAAATGCTTAAACTATAAGCTTGAACTCCAGGGTTTCTTTGGAAATACATGTAAGAGGAAAAGGTTTATAAACACATTAAATTCAGGCTTTAAAATTCTTTATTTTTTATATAAAATTTCTGCTTATCAACATATATTCCAAGCTCTCTCATAATGAGAGATAACATATAGATAAAATATATTTTATAATGTCATTTTATGACATTACATGGAAAATGGGGGGACAAAATTGTTTTGTTAAAGTCCTCAAGCACTAAAATCTGATGTTCTTTTACAACAGGAAAATGTGGGGGGAAAAGTTCCTCCATAATATGTATATGTATAGACAAACTGGACTACTTCAACCTTCTTATAATTCAAATTTTGAATGTATCCCCAACGATCCATGTATCAAATGCTCGTTCCCCGGGGTGGCACTATTAGGAGATGGTAGAATCCTTGACAGGTCTTTGAAGGGCACTGCTCTTCAGTGCTCTTGGAAGGTAGGTGGGACCTGTCCTCATCCTTCCCTTCCTTTAGCTTCCTGACCACCAGGTCTGTGGTTTTGCTCTACCATGCATTTTTCACCACAATGCACTGCCTTTCTACAGGCCCAAAGAAATGAGACCAATCAGTCTTGAACAGGAACCTCCAAAACTGTGAGCCAATATAAACATTTTCTATTTTATGTTGACTAACTCAGGTGTTCCATTATGATGGAAAGCTAACATAAACCTATTGATATTACTTGGGTACATATTAATTGATGCCTATTTGTTCTGTGGAGTTGATTTGATATGCTTCTTAATCTTTACAAAATTAATTTATTGAACCAAAACTAAAATATCTATGGCCTTGAAATATTTCAGAGTCTAAAACTGACCAGAAAGCAAAAGAAATACCTGAAGTAAAGCAGAAAAGAAAATACAGTGTACATGAAGTTTAATGGTCACATATTTATATGATATTCCAGTAGAAATGTCTCTAAACAGCTATGAAAAGAAACCTTTGAAAATACATATTCATAGATGAAAGACAGATCTAAAATAGTTACTTAAAGTGATGGTTGAATAGAAACAAATTCAAAGCCTGGGTTCCAGGTCAAATATGATGTCTCTCTCATCATCTGTGTACATCTGTATATTTGTGTACCTTCCTTTGATGAGTTTTATTCCAATGGCATATCTATTTCTCCCTGTTGGAAAACAAGCATATGGTTAACATTTCCATGGATAACAACTAGTCTTAATATGTAAGATAAGCATTGTTAAAACAAATAAAATATTTTGGAAAATAAAGGGAATAATTTGTAGAATGTGATTTGGGGGCATTGTTGTGTGGGGATGGAGATAGTGTTGATATTTTCTTCTTTAAGAATTGTCTGCTGAAAGAAAAGTTTTGATATTATAAAGAATAGATCCTTTGCAGTTTGCTGACTCTCTTTTTACTCCTTGAAAAAGTTTTGCAAAGAATTCCTTACAAAATACACAAATACTCTTTGGAGTGTAAGTGGATCTTCTTTTATTTGAAGGGTGAGGAGATAAGAAAGAGATACTGTCTATAATGTTACTGCTCTCTTTGGCAATTTCTGTAACTCTGTGCCATCTACATGTCTGACAAACTCTATCTAGGAATCTAAGATTTTGAAGTCAGATTTCCTTTTCCCATTCCCTCAGCTAATGACATTTGCTATGAAGGGCCGGTGATTACTTGAGAATTGGGAATTGGAGACAAGGAGCCACAATGAATCTCAGGAATAACCACTTCCATTTATCTGAAAAGAATTCTGTGGAAGTCCCCAAGTTATTCATTGATAAAAACAGCATTGCCACCCACCTGGCATTTTCTCAAAGGCAGGCCTCTGCTTTCTATTCTCTAGTTTCCACAGAGGATGAGTTTAAACCTATACCCAGTCACCATGTGGTGTATATCTTCTATTTACTGTAAAACACCCATTATTAAAAAGGAAAAAAAATTTTAGGATTTTTTTCCATTCCCTAAACATTCTATTTCTCAGGTTCATCACCTATAATTTATCCATCAGACTTGGCTCAAAATCTACTTTGACAGTCATCTAAATCCTAATGTTGCATGAAAAATCACTGACAGCATTCTTTGAATGTGTCAGAGACTGAGCAAATTTCCTGATAAGTCCTCCCTAACCATGAGGTCACATGCTAGAGTCACTTCATGTAAAAATGATATTGATTCTGCAAGAAAGACAACTCAAAGCTAATCAAGACACCTGTCTCCTACATACGCACACATACACACACACAATGCAAATTAAGTTCTTCCAAATGATTAAAATGAGTAATGATGTACTAAGACAAAAACAAAGAATTCTAGTTCTTTTAGGAGATATTATCTGTCTCCTATTCATTTCACATATCAGTAATGACAACTCTGAGGCTCACTAACATTAAAAATTGTGTACCTTATATTTGTGCTACATTCTTGGATCTCTAATGCATACCAACCATACAAATGTTAACCGATTTTCTACTCCATTGTAATTTTCTGTGTGTATAGTGTTATTTCCGGAACAAAATGTGAGTTTTCATGCTTCTTAAAAATAAAAATGTTTCACGCCATTTTTCTCATGGATGCTATGATAAATATAGTAATTCCAAGCAATTGGATGTTCACTCCCATGCAAGTAACACTAAGACTGTGTGTATTCTTTAGCATGGGGAGTCACAGAAGTCTAAAGGGAAAATAAAGGGCAGGATATATGAACCTTAACTCTGGAATGAGCTGAGCTGCCTGGAGTAGCTGACATCCAGGAACTTAGAGTTGAAGAATGGCATTTCTCTGGTAATTATGATCTCAGCCAGCTCTAACAGAGCAATAATAGTTTGGCAGATCCTGTGGGTGGTGTGCATTTCAGAGCCATCACAAGTTCCAGGGAAAGGAAGTTATTCTTTTACCTCAGGAAAAATAGAATAATTGACCTATTGGGACAAAGGAGAAAATTGACTACAGTTCCTTTGGCACTAGGGTCCCTTGTCATCTGGAAAATGGTGATTGGATTACAGACTGGATTAGCATAATTTAGTGGCAGAAATACTCCATTTGTAGCCATTTATCTTCTGGACAAGTGGCCACTGAACCACCTTTCTTCAGTTCCTTCTCTTCTATCCGTCTTAGCTTAATAGAAAAAAAGGAGGAATGGGGACTGAAGGAATATAATGTAGTTCTAAAATACTGAACACACAATACCACAGCACAGGAATGAGAGTGAGGATAACAAATACTCTATACAATGTTATCAGAAGTACAAAGTAGAAAATGAAGCTACTCATTAGATCTGAAGACTTCATATAGCTAATTGTCATTTGAAATAATTATATTTCCCTGAACTGAACTAATTCAATAAGCTATTTTAGAATTTTAATAAGGCTTTCTTTTAAAAAGCACAATAATACACATAATGTATACAAATCAAATACTACAGAAGTGGTTTTAAATTTTTAAAAGTATCTTCATCTCATTTTTCTCCCTTCCTTCTCCCCAAGTGTCCTAATTCCCCGTGACAGTCACCTTAATTGCATTGTTTTTAGTTATTTAGTCAACTCTAAATAATATGTGTAAATGGTTAATCTTTATTGCCAACTTGACTGGTTTGAGAGATGCCTAGGAGGTTAGTAAATCACATTCTTGGATGTGTCTGGATGGGTCATAAGACATGACACTGGGGACTGAATCTGGTCCCTAACCCCTTGCTCTGCTCTCTATTTTCTGTATCCTTTAACTTGAATTCCTTTCTTCCACCACACCATCTACTGTGTTACTGCCTTGGAGTCAGCCAACCACAGACTGAAACCATGAACCAAAATAAACCTCTCCTTTTTTAAGGCATGAGCTCTTCTTCTTCTCTTAATGTATTGTTTCTTACTAGTGGACCACATATCCTAGGTGTACAGCGTTGGAGAGGTAATGCTCAGAAATGTTCCCAGTAAGGACCGTGACAGAAGGGAGGAGATCCTGTGGAGTTGGAGAGCTCCACAAAGCGGTAATATGATTACTAGAAGTTAAGATGTCTAAAAGAGCTGAGATGTCCAAAAGAGCTAAACAAGCATATTTGTGATCATGTGCAAAATGAATCCCCAAAATGCCTAGATACACTTAAGGGGAGTTAATTTTTAGGAGGTTAGAGATCCTACAGAAGAAAAAACAGGTCAGAAGTTAGTAAAATTTGGATCCCTTTCCAGCCAACTATTATTTATGATTCTCTTATAAGCATTGTGCTGGGCATAGGATATTGGACTGTTAAAGTGATTCTATCTGCCTTCCAAGATGGAATGGTCTGGAAAATCTTTGTTGCAATAAAATTTAGAGTAGCTTCCCACAATAGAAAAATATAAGAATAAAATTGAAATGGGAAAATATGACCAGCAAGCATATGAAAAAACACAAATTTAAACAATATATATCATTTTCTCTCATCTAATTGGCAAAATTTTAAATATTGATAACATAAAATGTTGACAAGATGAAATAGACATATGTACTCTCATACAATGTTTGTTTAAAGTGTAACTGAGAACAACCTTTGAGGCAATTGGGAGATATAAATAGATAAACACACAGACATACACACACATCAATCCAGAAATTCTACTTTTCTTCTATGTTATTGAGAAATATATGTAAAATTCATGAAAACATGGATAAGATATAAGCTTTTGCTGCAAATATTTATGGTGAAAACCTAATGGCAACCAGAAAAAATCTGAGCAGGCTGTGGAATAGAAAGCACCATGAATCTATCTCCTCACCTAGACAACTACACTCCCAGAATCTATAACTATTTTGGAAAGCTGCAAGTTTCAGGAAAAAGCTTAGACAGTAAATTATGGCTAATTTTGGTCTATTTCAGCTCTTAGCACAGTAATGCATACCCATTTCCTAGTTTCTGCTATACCCTGATTGTGGGAGTCAGAGTAGGCAAAAAGAATCCTGTCCTGGAAATACTAACATCAATACTCTGATCATTGATTGCTGTTTTTGGTCAGCAGAGGTATAGAAAAAGGCAGATGGCCATGGTTGTACCTTCTTCCACTGTTTTAATCCCTTCCTCTCTGGCTGATATGATTTCCAGATGCTTTAAAGGGCTGGTGCTCATTTATCCAAACTCCTTTACTCTTTTTTTCTTCTTTTGGAAGCACAAAAAACTAGAATGTCCAAAAGCAGTGCCTACATAGGGAAAATCAGAACATAACAGCGAGTGCTCATAGAAGGTCATAGTCTCAGAAAAGACCTGAGAAGACCTTGTCTTAGTCACTTTTCTTGTCTCTGAGACACATTACCTAATACTTACAACTTAAAGGAGGAGGGGTTTATTTTCGCTCATGGTGTTAGTCCACAGTCGACTGGCTCCAAGGCAGGACAGCATGGCAGAGGGAAATAACAGAGGAGAAACCTGCAACACAGCATCCAGGAAGCAGAGAGAGAAGAGAAGAGCTAGGGAGGGAGATATGCTCTTCTGAGGTATACCCCAGTGGTTCTGCCAAACAGTGCCCACCTCCAAATAGCTGTCTGATATATCACTTCTATGATTTAATCACCTTCCAAGAGCCCAAACTATAAGTGCATGTAGGTTTAGGGAACATTTAGATCTAAACCATAATAGACCTTATATTTCAGGGTTATCTTTAGCACAAAGACATACTGCTAAAAGAAAAACAAATAAATAAATAAACCAAAAAGGTATTAACAAAAAACAAGGGAAGAGGAAAAATCTTATCTATAGTTACTAGATTCAAATGTTCAGTTTTAAAAAAATTAAAACTCATACCCCAACCAAAAAAAGAAAGATCCATTTTGTAAAAAAGTAAATCAGTAATAACTGTATTGAAAAAAAAAAAGACTCAATGGCAAATCTCCTAGAGAAAGACTTTAAACAATTATCTTAAAGATGCCCAAAGAGTCAACAGAATGTGTGGAGATAGTAAAGAAGATTAAACATGAACCAAAAAAAATACGATTAAAGATGATGAAAATCTGAGAGAAAACCAAAAATAAATTCTGGGCTAAGAAGTACAATAGCTAAAATAAAAAATTCACTAGAATGATGCAAGCTACACTGAAGAAGGCAAAAGAGTCAGTGAGTTTAAAAATGGGATTGTAAAAATAATCAAGTCTGAGGATCGGGAAGAAAAAGACTGAAGGCAAACCGAGCATAAAGGATCTGTTACACATCATCAACTACACTAATGTATGTATTGTAGGAATTTCAGAAGGAGAGGAGAGAGAGAAAGAGAATACCTGAAGAAATAATGGTTGAAAACTTGTCAACTTTGATGAAAGGTATGAATATAATGATGCAAGAAGGTCAAAGGACTCTAAGTAAGACAAATTCGGAGGCCCACTCTGAAACACATTACAATCCAATTTTTAAAACACAAAAACAAATAAAATGGCCATTAAAGCAACAAGAAAGTTGAAGTTTGTCACATACAAAGGATCATCTAAAAAACTATCAGCAGATTTCTCATCAAAAATTTTATAGACCAGAAGTAAGTGAATAGATATATTCAAAATGCTAAAGAAAAAAATCTTATCAATCTAGAATCCTGTATTTGGCAAAAGTGATGAAGTGCTGGGCACACTGGTTATTCCTGTAATCCCAGCTACCCAGGAAACTGAAGCAGGAAGATTACAAAGTTGCAGTCACCCTATTAAGATGTTATGTACATGTACCAAATCCATCCCCATGATGAAAGTAATAATTATGTCCTGCAAATGTGTAACAATAAAAAATAAATTTTTTTAAAAAAGAAATAAAGTTTACAATAACAGTAAATACATGGGCAATTATAAAGGCTGGCATTATTATTACAACACTATTTTCTTTAGGAAATGACTACTTTTCAGAGATGTTTTCTAGGAGTAGCTCACTTTTGGCTTTTGTGTCTGTTGCAAGATCCTACCTCTTCAATGTATTGGGAATGAGAAGTTGCTGCCTATTTTGCCTAGCCCTTGGTTCTTTGGTACTGGCCTATAGTACTCTTTATGATTCTCCGGCAATCTCCATATTGGTATACAAGGGAAAAAAACTGATTACAGCAACTATGCCACCTTGTTTAAAGTAGTACAGTGAGTATTAACAATAGCATCAAACACAGAAGGGAAAGAAAGAAGGAAAAAACAGAAACAAGAATAGAACAAAACAGCAACAAAAAGCTAGAAACAATGTTCACACTCATACAAACATAAGAACAAACAATCAAGGTGGGGGGAGCAAAGAAAGGAAGAAAAAAAATGTTCACTTTAAGGCGTGTCTCTGCTGTCACTGGTAGACAAAGAGGGCAGACAGAGTCCCGATCCATGTTGGTTGATCCCTGCAGCCTGCAGTAGGATTATAGTGGAGTGGTGGATAATCCCAGAAAGCCTGTGCTTTCAACTTCACAGAAGTTCAGGCTGTTCAGTTTCTAGCTATTAGGCTGGGACCTAAATTGTTCAGCCTGCAACACTTGGGATGCTTCTAGACAATTTAAACTCAGCTCCCTGACCCTGAGTGTCTCCCATGTCTGGGCCTCACTCTGACACTGGCAGCCACTAGATGAAGCCAATGTGTGGCTTCTCTGAGTGCTCAGTTGGCCCCTTTAAAAATGGTGACCAGCCAATTGCCCTCTCCTGGGGATGTCTGAACTGTAATTATTCACCAGTCACTGCAGTCTGCAGCATCCACTGCTCTGTTTCACTGGTGCTTTTCTCCATGGAGGCCTCTGGAGTCACTTGGAGTCACTGTGCTACAGTGACTATAGTGGTTGGTTCAAGCCACCTCTCAAGCTATGAGCTGGGATTCAGGGAGAAAGTACCATTTGCCACCTCCCTCCTCAGCATTGAGGTCCTTTTCTTTGCTCTCACCTTGGGCTCCAATTCTCATTTCAGAGCCTTGTGGGTTCAGGGGACTCACTTCCTTCCTTCTTCTCTTACCCACATTGCTATAGTCCAACATCTGGACTCCCAACTCTTGAAGAGGCTGATTTGCTGGTGCTCACCAGTCCATCATCTTCAAGGAAAGCTGTAACAACATTTTCAACTGCACAATTATTTTCTACATGATTTAGGAGTCTAATGTATTTTCACAAAAATAATCATTTATCTAAAAGCTAATAATGTAATACTGGTTTGTAACTCCACATTTTATGTTCTAAGTTAAGAGACTACTATGTTTAAATAAATACTAGTTTATATATTTTGAATAATTGTATATAAATATGTGATTTGGGGACATCAACAATCTACCAAGGAGATGGAACTATTAACTTACACTAGTTAAGCTGGTACAAATTCAAGTTAAAGTGTTGTAATTTTATGAAGTTAAAGGAAATCCCTATGGCAACAATTAAGAGAATGCTTATACAAGCAATACAAATGGAATTTAAATGTTTCACTATCAAAAAAGCTAAACACAAAAGACAATCAATCACACAGGAGAAGAATGACAAAAAAGCTAAAAATTACACAGCAAACAAGTAGCAAAATAGCAGAAGTAAATCCTTCCTTATCAGTACTTACTTTAAATGAAAATGGCTTAAACTCTCCATTCAAAAGACAGTGATTGTCACTCCACTGCAGACAGGCAGGTATGCCCACAACCTACCAAGGTCCCAAGTCATGCGGAAGACAATGAATCACCCCACTGCAGACAGGCAGCCACCTTTTTCCACACTACAAAGACACAGGGGACACCAGACCACCAGACCACAGTACTGAGCCCCACTGCTCCCAGCCCAGAGGTAGGGGCTTCTGAGCCACCTTCCCACTGCTCCTGGTCCAGAGGAAGGGGCTTCCCAG